TTGCAATCATACTTGAAATCAGTAACCTTATCAGAAATTCTCTTATTAAATTCTCTATTTAAAATTTCCCCACATCAACACAAAGAAAATCATGGGGTCACACCTTTTCGGGTAATTGGATGACAATAATCACAATTGCCACAATACTTCGGGCAATTGGACAAAAGAAACTAAAACCAACCACTGTACTTCAGGTTAGTTTGACATGATAACAATGACTGATCCTTATAATTTAGGATACAACAACCAGAATAACGATAATTCAGGGGTAAAACGGGAACAATGTATAAGTGAAAAAACTTATTTTAAAGTGAAGGAGACATGTTGTCTCAAATAGCCAACACGGCTTTTATTTATAATAATATTTTAATGTTTATCACACAACACCAACCTAGATCAGGCTACCAAATTCAGAGCTCACAATATCAACTACTCTAGTTATATTACTTAGTCTTATTTTAAGAATCACTAACTCTTGGGGTTCGAGTGAGTTTTTGTAAGTTTGTGAATATGTATATGTGTGAATTATGTGATCTTATTAAAGTGAAGATTTGAATAATTTTTAAAGTAGGACTGAACCAATGTAAATTGTTTTAGTTGAGCTAAAGCTTTTTGATGAAATATAGATGTATTATTCTAGATAAACAATTTTTTTCTATTAGGAATAAGAAGAGAAAAGTTGGGGTAAACCTCTAACCAAATGAGATACACCTCTACCAAGATACTGTAGTTGGAACAAGTAGAAGATATAATCTCTGAAATCAAGTATTTTTATAGTTTGCAATTGTTTTTTATTTTAAAATAAAAAATTATTTAGTGGAGTATAAATTGACTTTAATTAAAAAGTTTGTTGTAATAACTTAGTACTACTTAATAGAAATTGTCAGCTAATAAAAATACAAAATGTTAATACAAGTATATTACGTTATGTGATAAATGGATAATAAGTCGAATCAAGTAATTCTAGTTATTCTTATTCTTCTTTCCTGCTACTGTTTGATTACAGAGGTTCCTAAAGCAGTAAAAAAATTTTTTATGCAAAACTGTGTGGATTATGATGCGCCGAACTCTGAGAATCGACTTTTTTTTTTTGACGTTCACATTTGATAACATGCTTATTTTCTTTGAGAACTTAAAGGGGATTATATCACCACTTCTCACCAAACCTCTGTAACATAGGTTTTTTTTCTTTGAATTTAAAGAAGGTACATAACTGATCTCTTCTGCAGAATAGTAGACCTTAAATAGTATAAACGCAAAAAAACTTGAACAGTTAAACCTTTAATAGATTTTGATTGGTTTATTTGTCATATAAAAATCATGTGAATACGTTTTTTTTTTTGACGAAAGCTATTAAAGTTCATTGATGTTAAGATTAGCGTTTAAAGTGCTAGCAAAGTACGTAGTAAATCGCTCAAAAAAAAACTTTTTGTTAGAACACTAAAAGTGGTTCTTATGTTATACCTAATTTTAAATCTGCGCCATAAACCTGGCACACAATTTCAGAAACCATATCGACATATATAAATGGAAGTTCTATAGAATAAACTTTGCTAATAATTAGCAATAATTAATTTTTTAATAAATTCAGTGGAGTTTGCCCACCTATTCTATAAAACATCCTTATTATGATATGTATCGTAAAGGGGTCTGTCTCTTTTTGTTATTTTATTATTGCAAAATATTAATTTACCATCTGTGTAATGAGATATAAGGATAGATTTTACATTTCCTGTATATGATCACTAAAACACATATTATACTATAAGATCATTAGGTAGAAATATTTTTTTTTATTGCCATTCATTGAATCATAGTTATATTAGTATGTGGGAGATTAAGGTGAATATTTCAGATATGTAAAATACCCATTACAAAAGTTTGGCTGGTATTAATGCATCGTTTGTGATACCGAATGCGTTTGGGTTTTCTGTTAACTAATTATAACCAAGCCTATAAATTAAACTAACTAGAATAGCAATAGATTTTTTTAATGTCCATAAACAATATCTCATTTCAATATACAAATGAAAGATTTTAAATTTCAACTCTTCTCGTGATATTAATATTAATTATTGAAATGAAGAATTATTTTGTTGATAATTAAACAGATCTTAAAGGCAAAAGCAAAACTACGGTTAAAGACAGTAATGACCTTTATACTCTAGTTTAACCTTTGAATAACTCAAATTAACTTACGTAATCAATTAGCGATGCCGATTGGTTGACAACCGCATAGATAATCATCCTTTATTGGTTAATCGATTTAGTCAGTCTTTTAAAAAATTCCAACCCCAAGTTAGTCACAATGGACAATAAAGCGATATCGATATGAACACAATGAACACAATTTAAAGCGATATGGGAGATAAAGAAGCGTTACATTTTGATTGAATTAATAGTTAACGAGGCTTTGTAATACACGTCGCTTATTTATAAACATTAATAATTTTTGCACTGCCTTCTAATATGATTATTAACTAAAATGATTGTATAATCGCGTTAAATACAAACATTGTGCCGGATATTAATGTAAATTTTAAGAGATCAAATAAAATTCAGATTTTATATTGATTACAAAATGCCACGACACGCTTTATAATTGCTCATCTTTCACTTTTCTAATAAGCCCAATTAAATTTATATTAAACACAAATAGTTAGAAAGAAAGCCTTTTTCCATCCAAAATATCTAACTTTCAATGTATTGATGTGGCTATGCATTTCTGCCTTCCACGTCGATTTAATTACAATATGTACGAATACGTATATGATCTTTTAATTACTTCTGTATATCGATATGTTTTTAATTCTTTAAATTAGTGTCACTCCCGTATTCTATAAGCATCACAAGTAATAGGTTATTATATTACTAATAAGCATTTATATAATAAGAATATTATATAGTACAGTAAGAGAATTACTAACGTTAAATTCGCTAAAGCTAGGCAATGTTAATCACATTATTTTATTATTTATTATTGTATAGCCATGTAAAAACTTGCCTCCTATCTATATAAAAAAAAATATCATTAAAATTAATAAATTTTTTAAAATCGATTCTATACCATTTCAAACTTTGAAATAATGCATTTCGCAAAAAACTACTCATCCAAAATCAGTTAACACTACTAATTAACAAATTTAGGTCTGATTTTATTGAATCGAGGTATTCTTGTTCATTAACCATCTATTAAAAGTCTCGGTTAAATTTTTTTTAAACTTTAAAAAAATGAATATATATCATAGGTCGAAGTGTGATCAGATGATCTTATTAATGTGACATTTATTCTAATTCAGTAATTATAACAGGGATGATGCATTTCGGTAACCGAAAGGATCTACGTAATAAAAACCCCAGCCAATTTTTCGTTTGCATAATATTTTTCCTTAAACTCAAATTTATATTCTCGAATGCATTAAATAATAAATAAAATTATCATTTTTAATTAAAATCATTTAAATTTTTTTTTTTTTTATGAATATTCCTTTTTGTTCTTTTTTTTTTTTTTTGCTTTTTGATCCTTTTTAAAATTTCGTCTCAATACTTAAATTTAACTTGAATAAAAGTAATGGGTCGAAAAGGTTCTAACGATGATGTTTTTAACGTGTAAGTTTATTTTAATTTCTTTCAAAAAAAAAAATTTCTACTAAATTTTATTAATTATAATTTCTACTAAAGTTATGAGGAGACTTCAGGTACCATTATTGGAACTGATGCTACCGATGAAAAAGGTCAATTGATTGATGGAATTCATGATGTGAAGATTGTTGATAATAAAGAAATTGCTCTTGTTCTTTGTAATAATTTAATTTAATCTTAAAATTTATTAAATTTTAATTTTTTTTCTATTAATTATATATTATTTTTACTTAACTTTTTCTTAAAATTTAGATAAAAATGATTATACTTATAATTGGATACCAGTTCAAAATTTGAGAAATTCTGATGATTTATTACAAGCATATAAAAAAAAACTACAAGATTGGAATAAACGTGAAGTTAATAGAACATCTCAAGAGGTTACATTTTATTTTTATTTATTGAATCATTATTAGACCTTACATTAACTTTAACATGTTTTTATGGTTTACAGATGCAAGATATTAAATCTTCTGATTTAAATAATGAAAATTTTACTGAAAAACCTATCGTGAATAATTCTATCCACTCTCCTGAATCTCCTGAAGTTTGTTTAAATAATCAATCTACTGATAAAATTGAAAAGTCAAAGGGCAAGAAACGTGCTCGTGATGATGATGAATCTCAACCAAATGTTGTTGTAAAGAAGCGTGTTGGACGTCCAAAGAAAAGTTTAATTAACAAAAAAATTAAGGTTAAAAGACCAGTTGGTAGACCAAAAAAAGGTTTAATTTC